GGTAGGGTTGTGTTGTGACTCTGGGAGTAAATAAAAAGTTTCAAGCTTTTTCGTCTTGATTAATCTTTTTTCTTCTCAAACTTCCAATCGTGAGATCCTTCTCTGTTTCTGTACAGTTTGTTGTGTGTAGTGCCTTACGTACGCATCATCGTCAACCACCTCTGTGCTGCGTGTACATACTTAGGTACCTTACCTTCCATTTCCGTACCTTGCCATTGTCGCGGCCTGTCGCATCATCCACCCACTGGACCCCCCGGTCTTCCTTTCATCATCGTCTTCTTAGGTTTCTTGCGCTGTTGGTGTTTGCAAGGTACGGATACTCGACTTGACTGGACGCAGCACAGCTCTCCCACACCTCTACTGGCACCGACCTCGAGCTCTCTCGGCTCTCTGTTACTGCGATACCTTGACGTTGGCGCCAGTACCTACGCGGCAAGCTTACTCCGTCCGGGACCTTTGGTCACCACGACTCGCCCGTGGGCCTCTCTGCTCTCTTACCTTATCTCGTCACACTGCAACCGCCCGTATTCTTCAAGGTCCCCCGTTACGCATCAATTACGAGGCCTCTCTGCTCTGCGTCCTGCGTTGGATAGCGCACTCCTCCGACCAGCAGCCCTTCCAATCCATCCAAGGGAAGTCAATCGGCCTCTAGAGTACAGATACCACCAGCCAAACGCCAGTACTACCTCGATAACCTTGGAACTCGTTACCACCCTTCTTTCGCACCCCTCCTAATCGCAATTGGTCGCCCAGTACATAATCCGCCTACAATGTCCCTCTTCGGATCATCACCACCGGCGGATTCGCCCTCAAACACCTCTGCTGCACCCTCGCGATCGCTGTTCGACGAAGGCTCCATGTCAAAGTCCGGCTCCAATTCGCTCTTCACCGACGACGATCTCGCCGGAGCCGAGAGCTCACCCTGGGACATGCCCACTCCGAGGAAGAAGCAGTCGCGCGCCGATGTCGTCCGCAACCTCTTATCCGCCTCCGACGTCCCCGAGCCCTACATTGAGACCTTTGACACAGTCGTGCGCGAAGATGGCACCGGAGGGCGCGTCAACGCCGGTGGCATAGCCAAGCTATTCGCTGCTGCGCGCCTGGGAGCCGACCAGCAGGCGCAGATCATGTCCATGGTTGTGCCAGCTGCAGGTGGCGACATTGCTGTCGGACGCGGCGAGTTCAACGTCCTGCTGGCTCTTATTGCCCTGTCACAGGAGGGCGACCACATCAGCCTCGACACCGTTGACGAGCGACGCCGAAGTGAGTCCATTTTCTTTCTACCTCTTTTTCTTCCATCACCATCGCCATCATCATCACCGTTTCCCAGCACCAGCGCCAGCACCAGCAAACGTCCACTTTTGTCTTGCCCACCTTGTTATGTCATGACCTCGGCACCCTGTTCGCCGAGCTGAGCTACCCGACCCTCGCAGCTATCCCTCCTTCGTACCTTGCTACCACTTATCAGTGCGCGCAATCTGTGTGGGGTTCTCTGCTAATTGCCAATACACTAATCCAGATCTCCCACTCCCCAAGCTCGCCGGCTTGACTGCTGCTCCCGTGATGCCTCCCGTCTCCGAGCTTGCTGCCAAACCTCCTCAAGCCCCTGCAACCCCCGTCCAAGATACCCCATCGCCGCCCTCACCGCCGCCGCCGCAGCCCACCACTCTGCGCCGACCTCCGATGGACTTCCCAGAGCCAGAGGACCCATGGAACTCTCCCGATGTGCACAAGGGCCACGCGCACGCCATCGCCGAGTCCCCCAGTAGAACCAACGGCGCCAGCCCTCAGCGCCCTGCAGCAAATGGCAATGGCAACGGCAATGGCCACTACAGCACGTCTCCGAGCACCGCCATCGCCGGCCGAACCATGTCTTCCTACACGTCTGCGGCCATCGGCTCAGAGAGGAGTTCCGGGCGGCAGGATGTAAATACCGGCACATCGCCGGGCGGTGGATGGGGCGGCTACTTTGATGGCAACACCACGGGAGGCGGCTTCAGCGAACCGCCCCAAAACAACCAGGTCACAAGTCCTTTTGGTGGTGCAAGCGGTGGACGCGACGCGAATCTCAACCCCGCAACCGTGCCCTCTCTGCGGCCCGCCGTGAGCGGTCGTTCGGGAAGTTCTGTGGAAGAGAATGTCGTTATCACGTTGATGCCGGAGAAGGAAGGCCTCTTTATGTTCCAACACCACAACTACGAGGTTGCGAGCGTCCGACGGGGTAGCAAGGTCATCAGGCGGTACAGCGACTTCGTGTGGCTTTTGGACTGCCTGCACAAGCGATATCCGTTCAGGGCTCTCCCTCTGCTGCCGCCTAAGCGTGTTGCTGGTAGGTCTTGATACTGCTTTTTATTTACAATATTCACATGCTCCCCACTAACATCTATACGTTAGTCAACGGTAATCACTTCTCTAATGACGGCGCATTTATCGAGAAGCGCCGTAGAGGCCTTGGAAGATTTCTCAATGCTCTTGTCCGGCATCCCATTCTGAGCCAGGAACAGCTCATTATCATGTTCCTTACCGTCCCGACTGTAGGTCACTTCTAGTCTTGTCAGTCTACTGCATCTCGCTAATTGTTAGTATCAGGAACTGGCTGTATGGCGCAAGCAGGCCACCATCTCCGTCCAAGATGAATTCTCCGGACGTGCCCTGCCGCCCACCCTGGAAGACTCGTTGCCGCCCACCCTCGAGGCCATGTTTGATAAGACGCGCTCCGGCATTAGACGCTCAGCCGAGCTGTACATTACCATCTGCAACGTCATGGATCGTCTGGTGAAGCGTAGCGAGGGAGTTGCGGCCGACCATGCTCGTATCGCCATGTCTCTGACCTCGCTCACCGAAACGAGTGCCGACACATACGCCAGCGACACCAACGATGTGCCTCTGCTCAATGATGGCCTGACGTCCATGAGTAGACACTTGAGAACCTGTCAGACGCTTTTGGAAGATGAGAGCAAGGCCTGGGAAGAGGGTGTGCTAGAGGACCTCAAGCGCCAACGTGATGCTCTCGTGAGCATTCGTGACTTGTTCGATCGTAGGGAACGTCTGGACAAGGACAACATTCCCTACCTTGAACGAAGGATCCAGACAAATGAGACCAAGTTGGCCAGCCTCCGCAGCAAACCCGATGGCATGGTCAAGCCTGGTGAGATCGAGAAGGTGGTTGAGTCTATTCTTAAGGTATGTTGAACGCGCCCCTCTCGCTCGTTGCAGTACTAACGATACTTACAGGACAAGGAGTCCATCGTCAACCAACACAACCGATCCATCTTTGTCAAAGAGTGCATTCGTGACGAGCTCATCTACTTCCAGACCACCCAGTTCCACGTCTCGCGTTGGAACCAAGACTGGGCCCAGGAGCGCGTCAAGTATTCTGAAATGCTGGCCGACAACTGGCGCCGTCTTCTCGATGAGCTTGACGGCATGCCCCTCGGCGACTAATTACCTTTCCTCCGTACTTTACCCTTTCTATGAACGCATCGGCTTTGCATATGAGCGTCTCTTCACTACTGGCGTTCCGGTCTTTCCTCTTCATCCGCCGGGATTATTTCGACTCTTGCGTTGGACTGTGTCAGCGACAGTCTACCTCAAGTCTTGTACGAATTTGTGTCCGATGGTCCTTGTTTTTTCTCTAACCGCGATATCTCTCAAGTCAGAATGTACATCTTAGAGCAGGGACCCGTTGCCGAATACCCTTTGGTTACGCAAGTTGCTTTTAATACATTGTTCTTAATCTCAATTCTATCATTTGCTCTTCCATCCTTTGACTCTCACCCTTGAGCTTTCGAGGCCTTGGCTTGATGAACATGCCATCGTCGTCCAGCTCGAATCATTAGCCGATATACGTTGCCATCAGATTAAGCAGTTGTCTGATGGCTTCAGGTCAGATTTCAATCCACATTCCTGGTAGCATCTCAAACACAATTCTCACGGCAGATTAGGCCTCGACTTATGGACCACCCTGCTTTATCCGTTTCTGTAGAGTCGAACGAGTTGACAAAGCCCGTCATCCAAAGTCACTCTCTAGCAAGAAGCCCCACGAAAATCGTGCTGAGCAAGCATTCAAATACTTTGACCCATTTGTCCGTACATTTCTCCATATCAGCTCAATCGGTGCTCTCATGTCAGATGAGACTCTGAGCTCTTGATCCCCCTGACCCAAACGTCAATTTGTCCATTTATGAGATCACACGCCGTCTACCAGGTGGATTCTGCCCATCATTCGAAGTTATCAGGTCATTGAAATGCCTTTTTGGAACCAGAAAAAGCCAATACATGTTCGCTGCACCCTACTTGTTCATATATGCTGCCCATATATGCCACGTCACGGGGAATTGGCTCTTATGTGACATAAGACGCCCGTTTTCCGAGCCAAAAGATGCTTTCCCCGGTCATTGACCCATAGTCGGAATCAACGAAAAGGATATGGTCCATTGACGGCACTTTTTATTCATCGAAATGAGTGTCTCGTCGAGCATTCTGTCTTCGGTAAGCCATCAAAGATCTATCGACGAAACACCATCAGGGGCGAGCTCAATGATTGAAACATGGCAAATCTGACGAGGTCTCATTTAACCCATCCTCGGGGCTTCTGGTTCCTTCTCCTCTTTACCTCATGCCTCAAAGAAACATCACCATGCTCTCTGATCGTGTCCAGCATCAGACACGGCACAAGCTCTACACGGCTCCCCATCACCGCTTCGAGACAAGAGCCTGTAATCACGTCCTCAGGTATAGTATAGTTCGACAGCCGTGGGACAAGACCAAGCCATTGTGAAAATCCCATGAGCTCCGTGAGAACTCAAGCCCTATAATGCCGTCAACAAGCGGATCCCCCCACGATGGGAATTCACGTCTAGAAAATCCTTTCAGTTGACGAGACTTTTTGGACCTTTTCTTCTTTCTTCCCACCCAGACATCACCACATTCTTCCAGCCTTGTCTGGACATATCTCGACAGCCAACTATCTCCTCATTCGCGGTACCGACCTAGCCAACATGGATGTAAGTCCCTCTCCCCCTTGCCCCCCTATTTCTCGCGAGTGTTCCATACTAATAATCGATTGCCAGCAGGAAAAGGGCAAGAAGAAGGAAGCAATCGTCATCTCGAGCGACGAGGGTGAGGCCGAGGAAGGCAACCCCTCGGCTCACCCCCTCACCCCCCGAAGCGCCGCGTCTGCCGGCCAGCTCCGGGTTGCCCGCCTTCTCGCCGAAGGCCCCGAGGGCTGGTCTCCCGGGCGTGGTCCTCCCACCCTCGCCGAGTTCGGCCTGGCCCCTGCCCTCCCCCCGGCCCCGGTCTCTGCCCACCCCCCTGCGTCCTCTCGGACTGTCGCCTCTGCCGCTGCCGCTCCCATCGGGCCCACCTCCCGTGCGACCAACGCCCGCGCCAGCCCGGCGGCCTCGGCGGCCTCGACAACCTCCAGCTCCGCCAGCAGCTCGATCGGGTCGGGAAGCTCGGCCTCTGTCGGCTCCTTCTTCGACGACGAGGACTCCCAAGGAAGGATTCGGGCGCAGACAGGCAGCAGGAAGGACCACCGCCGCTGCAAGTTCAAGTACTACCAGCGCAGACAAAGCCGGTCCAAGTACCGCAACGTGTACCGTTGCAAAGGATACCCCGGAAACCCCGATTGCAAGAACCTGCTCTACTGCTCTCGCGAGCGGAAGTGCCACCATAAGTCCAACTTCAAGGACAAGAACGGGCGTATCAACCTCAAGAACTGCGCAAGTTGCCGCGCCGAAACTCGTACCGCCAAGATCGAGGACAAGGGCGAGCGAGAAGCCAAGAGACGCCAGCTGGCCTCCGAATTCAAGGCCGTTCCATTCAAACGCGGTTCCGGTGCTGGTCGTAACGCCAAAGGCAAGAAGAAGCGTCCCAGCAAGAAGAACAACTCTGCCCGCAAGGGTAAGGCCACTGTCAATTCCGGCCGCAAGGCTGTTGCAGGCGAGACTGAGTCCGACGTCGAGTTGGAGGAGGAATCCCTGGATCACGTGGGTCTGCCTGACGAGCGTCCTGGTCTGAAGAGACGTCGCGAGGATGATTCGGAAGATGACAATTACGGCGCCAACGGAAAGGGAGGATTCTCGGGCTTTGGCGAAGGTAACGGTGCGGTTCCTGTAGCTGCCTGCTAAGGGGGTCTCTGTTCTCGTCCTGAAACGCTGCGGAGGTCATATATTCAACTTCATTCACGACGTGGTTCTCTACCTGTACCGGCAGCTTGCACATTACGACCTATCGACAGCATCTGGCCTGATTCGATACGACATACATACATACAAGGCGTCTCCTTTCCTTTCTCGGCATGACAGGCTCGATATGGCTAGTGGCTCTCATTTCTTGCACCATTGAGGGGAAGTGGGCTTGGAGACTGTGTATAGGTTGGGACTTTACTTCAGCGAGGGATCAACCCCTGGGAGGATAACTTTGGCTTTGGAGGGCAAGGGATTTGGGCGTTGGGAGACTTGGGTGGTTTGCCGCTTGATTTTTGAGATCGTCTCGTCGAGAAACGCTGCTTCTGATTTCCTTCATAACATTATCTGCAGATTAGATCTGGGAAGAATGAGAGGCTGACGATACGAGAAGCTCAGGTCTCTCAAGAGGGAAGAGGGTGGGATTCGAGACTCGGTACTTGGGAGCACAAGAAGCCAAGGACATGAGATGTTTAGGTCGCTCTTAGACACATCCACAAAAGCGACACGATATATACATTCCCCTTGCAGATGCCTTGCGCACCTCTGACGTGAAATTTTCTAATGTTGAGTAGGAATGTGAGGATAAAATTCAATATTATCATAATATTCCATGAGTTAGCAGCTCTTAAGGTCTAATCTTGGAGAGATACAACATGACTACTCCAAAAATTGGCTCTATCGAGGCAGCGTGGATCGAAGAGCTCACAGCCACTTTGCGATGAGGCCATTACTGGAGTCAATGTGGTGATCAATGAGCTTAAGCTGGGCTAGATCGATCCAATACATTGACTCTACAAGCTGTCAGATGCTGGTCGGATCTTGGCGCGGCATGGCTGTCATCTTTGAGAAACAATACGAGAGACTGGAGCCCGCGGTCCGCGACGCCGCATGGCCGACGCCTCCCGGGCGACGACTCCCGCCGGCACACGGATTGCGGAAGCATAACAGCGACTTGAAGTAGCCAGACTCAAGCACTCTTAACCGAGTTACCCTAACTAAGGTGCCTTTTCTATCTTCTTCTTTTTATGGAAGAGAAGTCAAGGTACTAAAAGGGGAGGGGGAGCATCGGCACCTTTCCCGAAATCGCACATGAGCAACCCTCGCCTAACCTCATTCTTCTATGACCACTCGACATCCCTCCATTTCTGGCTCACCGCTGCTTCACACCATCTTTTCCCAACTCCTGCTGCTCGATTTTCTCATTATTCTCGTATTTCACGCTCGTGCTGCATCTCTTGCACCCAAACCATCACGACGGTACCATCCCAAAGGAGACCCAAAAAGCAACCCTCTTATCTCATCACAGAGATAATGGACGGCTGGGATGTGGGCGAGGCTGCCAACCAGAGCGTCGAGACCCCCGGCTAGTTGCCGGTGTCGCGCATATCAATAGATAATGCACCGCGATATGGGCATGTGGGATGTGGGATGCGGGAAAATGCCAGCAGAGCAGATCGCTGAGACCAACGGCCCATGGGAAACCTAGACCACAGCGTTGGATATCAGATATATCAATCGCCCCGAGTCGCTAGTCTTGCAGAGCGCGCGCCATCGTGGGGCAACCTTTTCCTGACTTCACCGTATCATCGCGGATGGGGAACCTTCTCGGCAGCTCGGCACCGCCAACGATGGGTTCGTATCCCATTCGAGAGTTGCGTAAAGCACGCACTTGGACAATTGGGGGATTAGGCTGTGCCGTGTTTCCCGACGGATCTTACGGGGACCGGTTGTCGTAAGGGATTAATACTGGCGTTGCGACACGTCCAACAATGACAACGACGACACTCCTCTTACACTCACGGACCATGGCGCGATTTATTCACAGTCAACACCGATCACGATCAAGCAAAGGGGGACTGCTATGGGCATTGCAAATATGAATCGACATTAAGGAAGAGGAACGAATTCCTGGAATATGTATCTCGCATCTATCTTCGACGGCCGTTCATGCGCTCGAATCCGATCTCGTCGAAACGCGACCGTTTTATCTACCAGGAAAAAGTAACCAAAATATCCGGGACACCATTCGATAAATTCGATGAGAAAGAGACAAAGAAAAGGCATAAGGAAACTCGAGGTATTACATTCGTCCTGCATATCATTTGCGCGTTTCAACCTGCCGTTTGCTCCAATGTACACCAACCGCAAACAACAGGGTCGCTACATGTATGCGCCAGAAAAAGCCCAAGTGAGTAATGAAAATCCTACTGATTGGAGGAAAAAGCAAAAAAAAATCGTGAGAAGCATGAGGGACGGGAGGGAGTGATGACTGAAGAATACGCCACCGTCAGCCCAAGACAGCCGCAAACCTTGGCCGAAAGCCTTAGTTGCACCACATCTCAACACGAGTCTTGTCGAGCTGGTCCAGGACGCCAAAGTCGAGTCCTGTTTGTCGAAAAGCAACGATGATCATGTCGAAGCGCTGCTCTAGCGACCGCACGTTCCAGTCTTCGACGTCCAGGCGCGCGATTTGCGGTACAGCCTCCTGCTTGACGAGAGGATCGGCCCAGCAAACATCGACCTTTTCCGTCAACACGAGGCTCTTTGCGAGTTCGAGACCGGGAGAGTTGGCCAGGTGCGACTGGCCCTTCTTGAAGCCCATGCCCACGACAAGGACACTGGGTCTCAGCTTCTCGGCGCACAGTGTGTCAACCGCGCGCTGAGCAATCGCCATGGGGCGAGCTCGCATCTTCTCCGTTGCGTGTTGCAAGAGAGGAAATTGGCTGTTCGAGAGAAGGTAGTACGGGTTGACTGGAATGCAGTGACCACCAACGCCGAGGCTGGGCATAAACGGCATATATCCGAAGGGCTTGGTCGCCGCCGCGCCGGACACCTCGTATGGGTCAACGCCGTGGCCCAAACAAGCATCGGCCATCTCGTTTGCGAACGCGATACACATCATACGCTGGCAATTCTCGTACAACTTGGTCATCTCAGCGACTTCGGGCCGAGACACAGGGACGACATTGTCAAACACCTGTGAGTACAGGCGAACAATGGCATTGAGCGAGCCTGGAACCATATCATCCAAGCCGGAAACGATTTTGGGAATGGCGAACGCAGGCGGCTCAACTCGGCCAGGGTCAACTCGTTCGGGTGACATGCCGGCAAAGAGGTGACGATCCTTCGCTAGAGGACCAAGCAGCTCTCTCGTCATACCGACTGCGACGGACGATTCGACGACAACCACCGAACCGGGGCGAGCGTATGTGGCGACATTCTTGAGAGCAGATCTCAGAAAGGAAGCGTCAATGGTCTGGTCTGGCCGCAGTAGTGTCGGAACCGAGATGAGGAAGTGCGTGGCAGCTGCCATATCGCTAGGCTTGCAAGTGAATTTGGCCTTGCTGTCTGGGCCAAATTCCTCGCCAAGACTCTGGACACGCGCCTCAGAGACATCGAAACCGAGAACGTTGAACTTGCGAGCAAAGTTGCCCACAAGGTGCTCTCCAACGTATCCGACACCGATGACGGCTACCAGAGGTTCCGCCTCAAGGTCAAGGGAGCTTGCAACAGTGGCAAGCTCCTCATCCGATTCGCACTCCTCCGTGGGAGGCGTGATGGGGTAGTAGCCATCATGAGGGAAGTCCCATACTTGAGGCTTGGTCTCTGGGGAGTCGAAAGGATATCCGTTGTGGCAAGTCGGAGACCGCTCCGGGGTGTCGGGAGTGAGCATCTGGGTATCCATTGCAGTGGAACGAGGGTGTAAACGAACGATGAGGGCTTCTAGAAAACGAGTGGTGGGGTAGGCCTGTGAAGATGAAGGAGAATATCTGTTCTGATATCTGCCTTTGGAAAAAAAAGTCAACTACACTGCCAAGTGTCTATAGCTCTTGGAAAGGGCGTAAGAGTGGAAGAGAGGGGCGCACGGGATGGAAGGAAGAAAGCCCTTGTTCGAGGAAAGGAAACGGGAGTTAAAAAGACTTGCCAACTGAGGCACTGACATGATGGTCAGGCACAAGGAGGAAGGACGAGGAGGAGACAGCCCACTCATGTTGACCCTGCCCCTGGCGTCAGCTTTCTCGAGGTTGCCCAGACCAGACCGTTGCGGCCGCCGTCCTCCATGGCAGCACCAGAGCAAATCAATGATTGAGACATGGCATCGAACTGGGTGTTGGCGGGCTTAATCGGGATCCACGTCTGGTTTGCAGCATACGGCATAAACGCCATGGTAGTGGTGAGGCTCCCTCAAGCCAGCCCGGCGGCACGCGGCTGGAGAATAGCGACGGGGCCGTGGACAGATCAAAGTCGGAAAGCAGAACGACATGTTAGTTTCAGGTCGAGGCTAGCTTCCGAGCAGGCCAGAACTTGGAGTAAAACAGGCGACCATCAGCAATAGTTTGTCCAAAAGCAGTCCATGGCAAAGCGGCCTGGAGGTGGCTGAAGGTTCCACCCCCTCAAAGCGCAACCGCAACCACAACCACAATCACAGGCGCGCTTCGGCAAGACGACGCTGCACGGAGAAGATTACAATAGCGCAATATGGCATCAGCAGAACGACAATGGCAGAATACTGCTCAGGCTGGGTGTGTCCAGACTCTCATCACTCACCAGCAATATTACCCAGCGTGGAATCGCCAAGCTGGCAAGCCCGGATGCACGAGGCAGGCAAAGACACTCATCTCCCCTGTCTGCCCATCGCACTCTCGCCGAGGTGTACTCCGACGCTTGATGTCATGCAGAACGCCCCCCGTCAACACTTGCTGAGGACCAATTTTTGGGGAGGAGGTTGCTGCGGCCTGCTCGGCTGGCCTGGAGTAGGCATGCCTTCTTGGAACTTGGACGCGGAATTCGAACATGACAATCTTTGTTGCATGGTCATATTCGGGGTTCGTAAGCGGTGGTCCAGGGTACTGCTGGATCGAGATGAATCGAAAAAGGCCGGAGGTTACGCTGGGGTCACCTTCGCATCTCAAGGCCGAAGGGGGGTTCTTGCTTGGCCACCGGCCTTGGGCGCGTCGATCACGCATGGCTGAATTCTTTTCGCGGAAGACATTTCTCGAGCTGTCTTCTCCGGCGATATCCTAAAAAAGGCCTGGATGTCATCTTCGACAGAAACCTTGCGAGAATGTCGACAGGGGGTCTTCAAGACGAGAAGAAGGGTGTATGAGCAAGCTGGAAAAGAGCCAGGATGAGGCTTGCTTGCAGAGTACGGACTGAAGGCGGCGTACACTACAGAAAGCTCCTTCGGTCTCCGTATTCCGTATGCACATTTCGAGGTCGACGGAAGCTACTGTCTTGGCAGCTTGGAATCGAGTCGAGAGTCGAATGAGACGACGTTATGTGTCGAAGCACAACAATAGAGAAGCAAGTGTGCGTTGCGGAGAGGATGATTGGTGTGAGGAACGAGACAAGGTAAGGTAGGTACGTTCGGTCAGCTTCCCATGGATATGCATATCAGCCTAATGCATATGCGTATGAGTGATGCATATGCAAGTGTCATGCAATATGTATCACGGCAGAATGGAGGCGAGGGATCCGCCCCCGCCAAGTGCTTTATTGCATCTCGGAAAAAAATGCTGGGTGGTATTGCATGAGTGTGTGAAGTCCAGGCGGGGTGGGTTGTCTCTCATTCCCGCTCGACTTTCTTCTTTCTTCATCTTCTCCGTTACTGCATCACCATCTTATCATTTTCCCACGCCCCCTCCATCATCAGCACCACTGTCCACCCTCCTTCATTCCCCCGTCCGCCCCTCCTTCATGAGCTAGGTTCCTAGCTTCGTGGGGCGCAAGCCCCTCAATGGCATTCCGGTCCGTCCTCCACGATCCCATCCCATCCCATCCCATCAACCGCCCGTTCGACACCGATCCAAGCTTCCAAGCCACAAACGGCCCCTTGCACTGGGCGGCATACACGTGGTGGAGAACAATGCCAATGGACGACTTTTCCCCTCAGAGACGCCTCTTTTCGCCCTATCCGTTCTCTCTAAAGCTCCTTCAGGAAGAGAAGAAGAAAACATCAATGCCAAGAACTCCCCTTCATCTCGTCATTCTCGGCTCGGGACCGGCGCGGCGCCTTGGGGGAAGCGCTTGTGTTGCACATGCGGCCCACCTACCAGCTGGGTTTCATTTTCGGGACCTCTCAAGCCACAGTGGCCGCCCTCTATTGATCAGCAAACAAGCAGCCTCTGGAGTGTGCTGAACGATGCTATTTGCAGTCCCGCCGTTTGGGGCCAACATACGGCTCGAGGTGACGGGTTGTAGCATGATGCTTCATTCAAACAAGCAAAGCCACTGTCCGAAACGGGGGCGCTGAGAAGTTTTGATCGGCAGCCAAGTCGCACACTGTCGACCGCGACGGCATCATCAAGCATTCGGCTCGTTGCGTATCGCGATGGCGGCTCTTCTCGAAAGAGAGCCAAAAGCGGGAATTTGCCTCTGCACTCCCATGTGGCCGTGACAGCGATACGACGACAGCTTCGACTATAATGCCGTCTCCTCACCATGATCTCGCAACACTTGCCGACCTGTTTTTTGACCACCAGAAGACCACCGCAGCGTCCACGGGCGAAGACGCACCGCCACTGCGACCGCCACTGCACGTTGCCCAGACTAGTTCTCTGCGGTTTGGAAGACTTTTTCCAATGTTCTGACCATGGGATTTGCCATCGTGCTCAGTGTGTGCCCTCAATACTAGCATGATTGGTGGGACTTCGTGCCCTCGTCTCAAGCTGACGAACCAAAAGATGGGATGGCAAAGGCCTCTGCGCTGGTGCCATCTGCACTGCAAATGCAAGATGCAATACAATTATAGAAACTCAGAGGTACCCCCAACGGATTGGGGATGGATATTGGAGCCGCAGCCTACAGCCCTGCCAGGATGGCGCCAAGTGCTGCCAACAATGCAAAGAAGACGAGGTGCATCTCACTCTTTGTGTGAGGTTGGGGATATCATTGGCCCCAGCCATGATCGCACCGCTTCAGTCTGGTGACCTGTGCGTCCTTAGGCTTCTGATTATACGAGGAGGTCCAGTCGACGAGGCTTCAATCTTTGTTCAATCATTGCACCTTACGACCTTGTCCGACCTGATGACATCAAGAACCCGACAAGCGTACGCTGACCGACTCTTATGGAGATAAGAAACTCTTAATCTAGCGTCTAGCTTGTTACTGAAAGGGTCGGTCTGAGGAGAGGAGGATGCTGACGGCACTAAAACACTGGAGCATATCGATATTTTTCGCCGCCAAGAACCAAAAGTTCTTTGCCTGTTTGTTGGAGTCTAGGAGGCAGAGCATGCCGACGGAACCTCGTTGACACGGACGCGGCACTAAGCATGGCAGTGTGTCGCCGGGTATCGGCGACTTCACCTCTCGGGATCATTACCAGAGCCTCGGAGACAGCCAAGGACCGGCGCGTCCGCAGGAGTACAAACCTGACCAGACTTGGGGAAACACAAATCCATCCATCCGGGAAGTCTGCCAAAAGATTCCGATCTTCGCACCAGCTTTCCAGGCACGTTGTACAACGGCGAAGCGAAGAGAACAAGCCGAAAGACAACCTATCCTTCTTCTCGATTTGATCTCCGGAGTCATGCGGTGAGGCTATTCTCGCGGTGAGGCTATTCTCGCGGTCAGGCTATTCTCGTGGTCAAGTTGTACTTTGGACATTGACGCCGCGGGGCACGGAACCTGGACAAGAGGATTTCTTCGAGAAGAGACAAAGACGGGTACCTAGGTAGGTACCTCATCATGTTGATTCCCCGCCCTTCAGGTTTCCCGTCTCGTTTTGCGCATCTTTGAGCAGAGCAATGTATTACTCGGATAATCGAATGTGGACAATTGACAGGGGGCATCCACCCACAGCCAGGGATTCTGGGCTACTCGGGGGCATCTCGTCACCCGCGGTCAGCCCCCCCGGTTACATCCCAGTTCCTGGTCTTTGATCTTCCTCTAGGTAAGCCCCTGTTACTTTCACAAAGCACATCATCAATCTATCATCAGGGCACCTGCAGTGGATCTTCGGTCTGTCTGGCTGGAGGTTGGCATGGTGGCCTGACTGGGTATGTTATTGCCCAGCTTCTGCAGCTCCAAGTCTGCAAGGGCCCAATATGTCTGGTCTCACTCAGCCCATCTCATACTCAATGGGGAGAAAATTTTTCCTTTTCACCGTTAGCCTGCCAACGCACACCTTGTCTACCAGTTACTGTCCGGCTGTTGGACGGCTGGCCTCGTACACGAGCAATATCTGCCGATCCCAGCCTCTAGTCGGGCACAACGGAGCCGTGATCGGGTGAAAGCTCATATGGTTCATCTCTTCAACCCCGCGAGCTTTCCGTACCTGCCCCGGCTCTCACGGCTCCGCAACTCGTATGCCACCTGTCGACAGCCTATGCGTCAATGTCTGGCATGTAGTCATGCTGGGGTCACGTACAGATAGTTGGGTCCGAAGCCATGGAGTCAACCATCTGAAGGGCCGTAGGACGCAATGTCATGCTGAATATTGGAGTCTTAGCCCACGATCTGACGGAGCGCCGCCTCGTACCCAGAGGGTTGAAGGTGCCAGCCTACCTTTGCAAGTGCCGTTTCTCCCGTCTGACTCCATCCATCTTTGGCCTGAAGAATGCCATTATATGCGCTTGGCCAGCGCCATTGATCCAGCTGCCAAGTCACACGCTCTCAGCCAGCCTACTCTTGCTCTCTCTGTCAATACAACCTGAAGGACTGGACTCAACGCGGCGTCCTTGGCAGGTCTGTAGGAGCAATATCCATCTTCGTAGTGTAAACCCGAAGACCACTCATTATCGTCGAGGAATCTCTCGTAAATACCGCCCTTCGCCTTCTTCGAATCATTACGGAACCTATTCTCCATCTTGCCCGCAGCGTCGATCGGTCGGAATCATACCCTCTTTGCCTTGCAGACTGCCTCACGTTCTTCTAGCCATGCATGTGCTTCTGCCTATTCTCCTTTCAGGGGCGGCCATGGCCGCCACTATAAACGCTCCCCTGAGGAAGCGCGCCGAGTGCGGGCCCGGAATCGGGTCCTGCGATCCGGGACAGTGTTGCTCAGAAGCCGGCTGGTGTGGAACGACGGCAGATTATTGCGGCGGCTCGCAATGCCAACTTGAATACAGCGACTCTTGCGATACCTTGTAAGTCAACGTCGGTCGGAGTCCCTCGCTATGCTGCACGTTGCTAACCAAGCCTCGACAGCTTCCCGCCACCTGGTGCTAGCACGGAGAGTATCGCGCGGCCCCTTGTGGGCTCCGTGCCTTATGGTGTGTTCATCTGCCTATGCATCGTGGGACGGACCTAACTTGCATGTCCGTCTAGGCTCAATCATCACCACTTGCGCCAACCCAGGAACCTTGGCACTGACCTATGATGATGGCCCTTACATCTACACCTCCAACCTGCTCGACATCCTTGAGGCCCAGAACATCACCGCCACCTTCTTTGTCGCCGGTAACAACATTGGCAAGAACCGGATGGACAACCCCGATACGCCTTGGCCGGCCGTGATGCAAAGAATGTACGCCGCCGGCCACCATATTGCAAGCCATACATGGACCCACCGCAACCTAAATGAGGTCAATAGCACCATCCAAAGAACCGAGATAATCTACAACGAGATGGCATTCCGAAACCTATTTGGCTGGATTCCCACTTACATGCGCCCGCCGTTTCTTGAATGCGACGCCGGGTCAGGATGCCAGAACCTGCTCAAGACACTCGGTTACCACATCATCAACGTTAATATCGACACCAAGGACTACATGTATGATTCGCCTGAAGAGATTCAGACCGCCAAGGACCGCTTCTCCAATGGTGTCTCAACAAACGCGGCAGCAAACAAGTACATCGAGCTGTCCCATGATGTGCACTATCAGACCGTGGTCAACTTGACACAGTTCATGATTGACACTGCCAAGGCGCGTGGCTATCGCCTTGTGACCGTAGGAGAGTGTCTCAATGATCCCAGAGAAAACTGGTACCGGTCAGCGGGTGGCGCTATTAGCTCCGGCGTCGCAGTCGGCACGACGAGGACGACGACGACAACCTCGGTGCCCACTTCCGTGGCCTCGACGCCTATCTCATCGCCGCAGACCAGAGCCACGTCTAGCACAGCATCCACCAGCGTCGCAACTCGCACATCGTCGTCAAGTGTCCCTTCTTCGACCAACGTATCACCGGACCAGACCTGTGGTGGCACCACGGGTTACACGTGCCTCAACTCAGCGTTTGGCAACTGCTGCTCCTACTATGGATTCTGGTAAGCCTCCGGACGCCTTTGACGCCATGAATGATACCGCTGACAACTTCCCCTTAACACAGCGGCTCAAGCCTTACATACTGCGGAACGGGCTGCCAATCAGGCTTTGGGTCTTGCTCCCCCCAGTCTTCGGCTGTGGCCGAATCCTCGAATGGTCTCTGCGGAAGCCAATGGAATGCCACTTGCAAGAACTACGGCACAAAAACCTGCTGTTCTCAATATGGTTACTGGTATGTTTTTTACACTCTTTCTTCTCTCTCCAATTAACCCTTGCCTTCGGGCCTGGTCCATCCGCAACAATTAGTCGCAATAAGTCGACATGCTGATGAGAATATTACAGTGGCAACTCTGCGACGCACTGCGGAACTGGCTGCCAGTCGCTTTTCGGAACATGCAATTGATCGGGCTGTGTTTAGTGCAGCATATATTGCCAGCCTGCATCTAACCTTGAGGCTGGTCGCCATGCTTGCACAGCATGGTCGATCCTCGGGGACCTCCCCCTTCAGCCCGGGGGAGTCCCCGTACAGATCATTGTTCTGCAATGTATCGCGCAGAAGATGACAACGAACATGAGGGGCAAACTTTGCAAACCTTGATTCACATATTATTGTTTTTTTCGGTCGGTCGGGCTATGGAACCGGTGGAAACGACCATCGCGCAGTCTATCGAGAGACGCCAAGGCTGTCGGCGCGGACGCACTACTACCTGGCTACGAGCTACCACCTACCTTTACGATCTCTACGGCCGAGAAGCTGGGATACAGCTGGAGGCATTTGAATTATATGCATTGCAGCAGAAGCGTTGGAATACAGTCAGAACGCATTGGCATGTGGACGCAGAGGGTGCTTGGAACATCTGGGGGAGGCAAATAGTTTAATTATAACACCTAATCGAGCAGGCGAGAGGGTATGTCTCGACCTACATCGTGCATTTGCGACATCTCAACGGCCAGTGTCGTGCTTGTTTTTTGCAATTTGAATTGTGTCTCCGGATGATGCATGTCTTGAAGAGTTACTACAACGGTTTTGTTTGCCTTCACCTTCCATATACGAGAAGCCTCCGACGAGACACCATGCCATGTGTAGCATCGAAGAAACGCACGTAATTATCGTGGTCCAGTCAGTCAGCTGGAATTTCCAGACATTGCGACACCTCGCCGGAACACCTGGCAACAAGAAACGGGGAAACATGTCCCGAATACCGGAGAAAACACCACTCACCAAACTCCAAAGAAAAGTTTACTGCACTACGACGTATGACGAGCTTGGCCGAGCCCTCGGGCGATGGGCTCGGGAATACCATGTGGTGGGACCTGCTCTTCAAGGGTAATGTAAACTAAAGAGATGAAGTAAGAACCTGATTAGATGTCAGTTAATCCCCCGCCCCCTAGCTCACCCGCGTGGCACCCGTCTCCGAGTTGCCCAGGGGAGCAATAAGTACCAAGAATTTACCCGAGCTTACGTGGGGAGAGGAGATGAAGGCGAAAAAGACGCAGGTAAGCAAATAACTTGAACTTTACCTGTTCAAGGTGCCATTGAGCTTAGCACACTTGTCGACGATGTGATTGCTTGAATAGGACGGGAAGACTTGGTGCGGAATGTGAGCTGCGAGGGGAGAGTAGCCATTGCTAGCTTACGGCTTGATCATTTACCCGTCCATCAGAAGTATGTTGAATCGAGGTAGTTTGGAAGCACTTGCAGTTTACTCGTGGCTTACGCGTGTCTTCCAGCCCTCACTGACCACACAGACAGAGTATAGAGGGAGGCCTAGCTATCACTTCAGCGTGAGCTTCATCGGCCAGCCTGACGGGTCGTCAAGTCTAAGCGAGTCCTTCATCTCAGCTCTGCTGCATTGTACTGAATTTGATGTTCGGGTTACCTAGAAAACAGCGTGATCCGCGTGAATCTGTCATTCGATGTTTGAACTGAGTGGGTCTTTGATGATGATGCGCGGCCGGAGCTAAACAGGCCTTGAATTTGACGGAGACGACAAGGAATGGTCGGGGGCGAAAGACCGCGTGAAGGGGAGGGGGAAGACGGTACCGTAGCATTTCGTGGGGGAAATCGATAGTGCCATGCTGCAGCAGGTGTTCACCCAGTGATATCCGAGGTCGGGCAGTACTGAGGCAAACTTTTGAATGTATTCGTAGAGAAGCCAAGGAGAAGGGGCATGGCCGCCAGGTCCCGTATGGGTGATGTATGGGTGCATACACGAAAGCCATTTGTGCCATTTGTGTTGCCCCGTGTCGTTGTAAGGGCTTAGGTTAATCCTGGTGTGAGGATCAGGTCTATCCTTTGCAATATCGTTCGTGCCCCCATTGTCAACCGCCTGGTAAGTGTGTCTGGTCACTCTGGTGTGTGTCTGTGTGTACGTGTGTGTTGCGCCTGTTCTCTTCGACCTGCCCTTCGGGCCTCTCTCACCCTAGCGCTGTTTCTCACCTTATTTTACCTCAGAAACAACTAAACAACTTCCCCATATTTCTCCCGCACATTTCTCCCCTGGTCAGATTTTAGCAGTTTCACCCTAGTTCCCCGAGGTGCCAAGAGCGCGTAACCTTGGAAAACAAGGAAGAGGCTACTGCAGGTACTGGGATTCCGCGTGTCTAGCGCCGCGTTCAACTCTCACCGGGGGGCTGAAGTGGGGCCGCTTCCGCCGTGGATGGACCCACTAAGGCATCCCGGGACACCGACGACGCAATATCGGGGTAAACGGTTATATGCATAATAGAATATTCTATCCGCCGGTAATTACTCCGGTTAATGGAGGGGGCGTGTGCATCTCTCTTTCCCTTCCCGTACCCTGCGTTGTCCACCGCCGTCGACCTCACCCTCTCACAACCTTCACGAAGACGACGACAACCACGCATGTACACACACCCACACCCACACCCCTCCCGCCTCCTCGTCTCCCTTCGCAATAGGTTCCTCCCCTCTCCCACCACCTGAATAGAATTCCGCATCGTAACGACATGCAAGCCGCTTCCGCATCGCTAGGCGCCCCGCTTTCCATCTCCCACACTCTCACGATCCGCCTCAACCCCATCATCCAGTCATACAGGGGGCCTGATGGATCATGGATGAGCTGGGGCTGGGAATCACGTACCGGCCACTCGCAACCTCAACTACGGACCATGGGCGCATCCACAGGATGGTGTGATGTTGCATCAACGCCACGCTTTCTTCTTGTGCCGCTGGCTCGCCGCCAGATTTGCCATACTGCCTGGCCACCACTACACGCACACGCACGTACGCACGCACCACGCAAATCCCATGAGGTTCTTGGGGCCTCTTTCGTACCGTCAGACCTATGCCCAGCCGGCTGGCAGCAGACTTCTCGAAACCGAGTGTCCTGATTCTATTACCCAGGGTCTCGAACAAAACAAAGAAGCAAGCGTTCTCAGCTGGTCGTTCCCAAAACAGATACGAAGGTGGACAGAAAGGGACAGGCACGAAAAGAAGGGTCCTCTTGGCCGTGTTTGACTCTCGTCTGCTTCGACTTTGATCTTGTTTTTTCTTCTCTCCTCAAGGCTGGGCCGGTTGTGCCCGTGCGACTCAGACAAACCGTTAATGACCCAGATATTGCAGATGGCAGGCAGGCTTGGAGGTTGAGCCAAGGTTGTCGAGCTGAGTCAAACACCAGCCATTCGTCCCGTCTTTCCAGTCATCCGAAGTTCCTGACAGACGTAGGGAACCACAGGCGCAGCATTGGCTCGATCCCACAGACATTAGGCTGCTTTGCTCTTTTTCGTCCAATGAGTGCATGCCCACTCCGTCCACTAGGAGTTGTCGGTCAGCGTCCGCGTATGGAGGAAATGAGACTTTAGCTCACACGCTCACGCAAACTCACGATTGTGTGCCTGACTGAAGGCGGCAGCCCTGTTCGGCGTCCTTCACTTGGTGCCCAGAATTCAAGCTTACTTGTGTGTGGAGGCATCCATATGCAAGGACAGGCACTGTACAACCTTCCTGCCCACTCGTGCAGCCTGCGAATCCATAAACACGGGCTTGGCACGCCGGGGTTGATCTGACTTGATTCGATTTACAGCTCTTTGCTGCAGCAGCCAGCAACCATGAGTTGTTGATGACCCAGCTTTCTCGCCTCTTCAAATCCTTTCTTACAGCTCGTCTCTGCAAAGGGAAAGAGTGCGATAGGTAGAAGGATTTCGTCTGAATGGAGACGATGCTGGCCTCCAGCGAGCCGAGCAAAGTCCAGCCCAGCCCAGCCAGCATTCTGCACCTGCGGCTCTTCTCTCATGCTTCCTCCCCCTCCTTTCGCGTCTCCGTGCTAGTGGTCACTCAGAAGCGAAGATCAGCCGCGAATACTACCGGAAGAGATTCATTCGCCCTGAACCCGAGCCCAAAATATCTCTCGCAGCTGCACGTTGCAACTCGCACTCTCAAGCAGCGGTGTCCTGAAGTTGAAACTGACGTGTATATTGGACAGGGGTCAACGGAGCATCACCGCGCTAAGTTGAGGACCGATCACCACCATCGACCACCAACCCCGGTCAACGTCGCCGTTGCCCATGTCTTGCTTAACGAGCGGCTCCCGCCTTGGGGGTGTAGCACTGGCCATGCGTCTTTCGCTGCGCCATCTTCTGAGCGGCTCTCTCCTTTGGTGTGTGCTTGCGGGCTGTATTTCTTTTTGTTCCGAGGGTGGATGTTGCTGTTCTCTGCCATTTCCACGCCATGCCACATGTTGTCGTTGAACGCCACAGCTTTCCTCGGACGAAGCCGATGCCCTTTCGGGTGTTGGGATTCTCTGCTTGGGGTGAATTGGTACACACAACACATCGACTGATGCATATCGTTGGCCTTCTGCTTTGTATCCCGATCCGTGTTCTGTCGATCATGGCGTTCTCGGGTTCAGGCGTACCTGCTGAACAGCAAGAAATTGGCGGCAGCACCAGCAACACACAATCACGGAAGAGCTGGAAAGCTCCATGTCAGGTGGCCGGCGTCAACTCGGGGGCGTGTAAACTACCGTCGACTAGGCATACCGCTG